TGGTCAGAGATTCCAAAGCAAGGAACCGGGGTGACCTTGAGAAACTTCTCCTGGCTTTGGCAATTGACACCCCATCTTAAGCAGTGCGTTGGAATGTCTGCCCAGCCACCAAAGTGAGGTAAGTCCATCCCCTCAGAGATCTACTCAACGAATAACTGTTCTCAAGAGCCTCAACAAGATGAAACCCTCCCACTCCCTAAATAAAAACTTAAGGCCGCTAAGTCCAGAACCAATGGCAACCTAAGGTATATTACCATGGACTCAAGACCTTCTACGTCCTTTTGAGAGTTTGTCAGTTTGTCGAAGGCTTCAAGTTTAAGCTTTTGTATTACTAGCTTCCATGCCACTTCGACCTTTTTCAATGCGGGGCCAAACATGATTACAATATTGTAAATGCATTTCTAGTCATTTTTCATCTCTCATCACCTTTAGTGACTAGTAAAAGAACAAATTAAGGTACGCTATATACTTTTTGTCAAACCAGCCAGGGAGGGTCTTTCCTGGTGTTGAATTTTGGTACTCAAAGGAGTAAAATACAAGTTTTCAAGTTGAGAAATATAATGCTTACACAATTTCACTACACCTCTGCAATGCAAACCATCATAAGCAAGCTAAGGCGCTACCTGTTGCGTTTCTAGCCATTGCATACACAGGAGTTGCTTCCACGGCCGGCATCATCTGACTGACTACAGGACCCAACTGCAGAACAGTTCAAGCAAAAAACTTTGGAGCACAACTTAGACAAGCAACTCAACGTTAAAAAGCCCAATTTTATCAGAAATTTGATTATGAACATTAGAAGGCCTTTGCACCATGGCTTCTCTATCAAACGGCCATGCAAAGTGAGTGCCTCAAGCAATTTACTCCAGTATAGTATATCTTATGCTGTACAGAACAGGGTTTATATAGGGAAACTATCAACTCCGTTACCTTTATCGGCATCATTGACTGTCCTTGACCAACTAGATATTTCATCCAGATGGATTGTAAGTTCTTGGCATGTTTGAATTTACATGCCAATGCTCACATATGGCATTAGAAAAGACTAAAATGGAATTGGATAGACAATAATTTCCGAAAGTCAATTTTAAACAGCCAATACTATAGTCCATTCAGGCGTTTTCCCAACATATCCATTTAAACTTTGTCAAATGCTTAAAATTATTTCCATCCCGACTCAATAGATTTGTGTAAAATCTCAAGGATAAAAGCAGAATCTCAAAGAAGCCAGTCCAAACCAACAAATATTTCTAGAGAAAATAGTCAGTTCAGAAGCCCAATGTGAATCAATGAACAGAAACTATTTATGTAATGATGTAGACAAAGTTTCTGTCGTGTAAACCAATCATCTAAAATTATCTGACACTCAATATAGCTAATTCATTACAACAGCAAGAATTCGTTAAAAAGGTAGCAGCAAGAACTCTGGTAAATTCAGCATTCAATTAGTAATAATACCTGCTCAAAGTAAGGAACTGCCTCTGTAGCTGGCCTGTTGTTGTATGAGATTATGGCATTGGCCTTCCACAAAAAATATATATATAACTTTTCGTCATACTCCTTGAATTGCTATTAACTTTATAAGTTACTTTGCAATAAATAATATTTTACAAATTGCGTCATCCTTCCACACAATAAAACACATCTAGCAGAATATGTATATGATATTATTTTCAGACTAAACATGGAAATCATTTTGTGCACAAAAGGAGATAAAATGTGCTCTTAGTGCTGCGGAAGAGAGGGGAAACACCTTGGGTATCTTCTCAGAAAAATAGCTTCCAATGAGTAGCTGAAGAAGCGCACCGTTGCTACAGATTCAAGACAAGAAATAAATTATTTTTTTGCCACAGATTCCAATAAGATTGTCGCTCAATGACTCACTCACTTACCTGTGGCCGACAGAGAAAAGCGGAAGGTCTCCGAGCTGGGCAGGTGACAAATTAGCTTCAGGCAAACCAGAAGTCAGGATAGTATCCAAGCAAGCCTGGAATCTTTCATGTACTTGTTTGGCAGCTTGTGTATGGTCAAATGTCACATTATAAGGCACCAAAATAACAAGAAAACCTTCCCTTGCCAGATACTCGATTAAATAACTGCAATAATCAAATTAAAGGACCAAAACACCACGCCAATGTCAAAAACTCCAGCTAGTAATAGCAATGGATCTCCGGTATAATGGGCAAAACAATATACCCGTAGGTTACTTCAGGAACAGCGCCAATGAAAGCACCGCCCAAGAATTTGATAATAGCGCGAGGCTTGCCGCAATTAGGTGCGGGCGGAATCACCAAACAGGAATCCAGCTTTAGAATCTTGTTATTATTGAATCTGATATTGCTGTCTCTGCCTCTATACACACTCGAAACCATCTTTGTTGCCGATGCCACCATTTTAGGACTCGGTGCATGAGACGGGGTGAGGAAATCTAAGTATTTATCCGAAATCCCATGCGGGTATCTTAATCTACTAGAGCTCGATAGATTCTTGGCCTTCTTCGAACAGAATAGGCATCTGATATCTGAACCTGCGACACAGGAAGAGGAGATGGCAAGCTCCATGACTGTGTAACCACTGCCTAGTTAACTAGTTTGAACGTTGAAGACGCAGTCCAAAAAACATATCTTAAAGAATGAGTCTTTCTTAATATTTTGTTTTGAGATGGGATGGATGAGTGGTAATTAAGAATTTTCATGGTGGCCATAAAACGGATTACGAATTTCCATCAATGAGACAGGCACAAACATATGTTGAAGATTTTGCCACGATTTGGGGCCTCTGCTTCCGTTATTGCTTCCCGATAGCCCATTCCCCATTGAATCAGGAGTTCGCTATTTTCATCTTTCAGGGGAAAAAAAATCTAAAAATTAAATTATTCACATATCATAAATAATATATCTAGCTTCAAATACATCATTTAACAAGGAAGTCATGGTGAAAAATTTTGGAACTTTTTCCAAATTACAGCGGAAGTTATCTTGTTGCTACGACACCACAATCTTCATCGGATTCTTCAAACTTCAATTGAGGAAGGCATGTTCTAGGATAGGAAGAGGATTTTGATGTAATGAGAAAATCAAGACATAATTGTAAAATCGTTAATAATTGCTATCAACAACGATCATGAGTTCATGACAGACAATAAGAGAAGAGGCATTATCATCACGTATGAATGATAACTTAGAACATGTCAACTACTAGTCTTGAGTGAATTTTATCACATCATTCATTGCAGTCATACAACCTCCACCCTTAATATAAAATATAATTAACTAATTTGAGAAAATTAAAAAATTAGTTAAATTAATTACTTATAATAAATATTCTTTCGGTCCTAAATATAAGACACACTTTGTAGTGTAATATTTAGGACCGGAAGAGTAGGTGTTATATTTACTATAATATCTTTATTAATCATATGTATTAGCTATAATTATCATTTGATGGAACTTTTAATATATACAACTATTACAATGACTACTTTGAAAAAAAATAGATAAATATGAAAAATAAAGTTAATTAGAATTTTATATGTAAGACCAAAGTTAAACAACTTTCAACCCATTTTTCATATCTCAATCACATACCTGTCACTTGTCGCGTTTGAACAAATTTTTGTTAAACTTGATATTAACACATTTTGTATGCACATGTATTTTTAATTGTGTAAAATTAGAGAAAAATCTTTCAATCTTCTATTTTTCAAAAGAAAAATCTGTCAATCGATCCATATGTTATGTATTATGTTTGTTTTTGTATTATTATTATTATTATGATGGATGCGGTATTTGATGTCACCAATGACACGACGTATATCCATGGTTTGGTGCCTAATACAGAATTTAAAGCAGTTTTCCAAAACATGAATAGGTCAGGGTGAGGAACCAGATAGAAAAACCGTATCAATACAAAATCAATTTGCAATAATTACAGCAATCGAAATTAATAATTATAATAAGAATAAAAAATACACTAAACAGGAAAATACAACGAATTGTAGTAAGTACAATAATCAAATAATCAATAATCAACGCAATGGCGTCAATTTTAATATAATACTACATTTGGTCCTAATTATAAGAGCTAGTTGACTAATTTGAGAATATTAAGAAAAGAAGTTAGATTAGTTATTTGTAATAAATATGTGTTATCTTTCTTAAAATATCTTTACTAATCAAGTATATTGGTTAGAACTACCATTGTTAGAAGGACTACTTTAGAAAAAAATGGATAAATATTAGAAACAAAATAGATTAGTGTCTTATATTTAATATCAAAATTAAAGTTAAGTAAGATCTTACGTTAAGGATCAGATATAGTAAAAAATCGCACCGAATAGGAAACTCAAATTATTCCAAATCAATTTGAATAAAATAGGAAATATATTAAATGTTTAATCTACGTTACTCCGAAACAACTCCAACCATAGTCAAAATTACATGTAATTTTGTAATTTTTTGCCCGGAACATCTAATTTTGTAATTGCACTGGCAATTTTGACTGACCGTAATATCACCAACAAATCTAGTATCTACTTCTGCGATTTTAAATATACTATTCATATTATAATCTAATTTACATTATAAAATAAGTCTTATATTTAAAAACTAACGAATATAATCTATTGGTGATTTGCATATCTTAACACACAAGCTTGAAAAGCTCATGTCACATGACCTATGCTGCAAGATTCAAATTATTATTTTATGATTTTTTGCCAACATTTTATAAAAAAAAATTAAATATAGTCTAATTATGAGCTCTAATGAATGATTTACAAATAGCGTAATTTTTTTTATCTTAACAGTATTGCACTGTTATAAAAATATTAAATAATTGAAACTTTTTTTTATTGATGAAATAAAAGTAGTAGCATGGTTGTTTAGGTCGTAGTAGTTTTGTAGGAATACTGAAAAAAGGAGGACTAACAAAAAAATCCCCCGGCTCCCCCTGTATATATATGGCCATACATTGTTTAGAATTAACGAGATAAAGAATAGAACTGAAACTGGAAAGCGGAGTGATCTGGGCGTGTTGTGCTTTCTTACCACTGTTTCGCAGGCGAACCAGGAGCGGAATCCGGTTCCGGCATCTCAGTCGACTGGGCCATGGACGGGCAGCGTTCCAGATCCGATGACCCATTCCTTCTCAATTACCAGCCTTCCGAGCTGCGAATCGCCTCCGAGTTCTTCGCAACATGGCTTCCCTTTCTCTCCAAAGATCTCTGCGGTCGCTGTTCTGCAATTCTTTCTGACCGCATCCGTTCCATTGACCCCGGTAAACTGCTTTACTTTTCTTTTTTTGTTTTTTATCGGCTCTTGGTCTCTTCTCGTGGCGTTGCTTGTTATATTTAAGCGTAATAATTGAAAAGCAATTATGGACCTTGGCAGATTCTTTGCTTGTTATTTCTTTGGTAACTATATTCTGCATGCGCTAAAAAGTGTTGGTAGTTTACTGATGGAAACGTTTCTCCCTTTATAATCTTGTAGAGCCTCATGGTGATGCTCCCAGAGAGCAATTTGAAGACGATTCGAATGCTTCTGTTGCTAATAATACGCAATCGCATGAGACGGGTGACGATCATGACGATAATAATTCTCTTGGGAGTTGGAAAGATGGGGCAGAAGCGAGTTATTCGGGTGAAGCATCTGGGTGGTCTGAACCAGTGAGTGAAGTCAATTACGAATCCCCTTTATTGGAGACCCCGAGCCCTCGTATGTCTTGGGCGGACATGGCGCAGGAGGATGAGTTTGCTGAAGAAGAGCATAACGAGTTGCCGGCCAATGCAAGTTCTTCGGATGGAACTACAACAAAAGTTCCCGAGAAGCCTAAGTTGTCTTGGGAGCAGCGAGAGTACCTTAGGTTTATGAATGTCCGGCGTGAGAAGGACTATATGTGCTTTGAGAGGGTTAATGGAAAACTTGTCAACATACTTGAAGGGCTTGAACTCCATACGGGTATTTTTAGTGCTGCTGAACAGAAAAGGATAGTCAATCATGTTGCTTCACTGCAAGAGATGGGAAAAAAGGGAGAACTGAAAGGTTTGTTGTCTCAACATGCTAGTATATCGCACCATTTATTTTGTTAGCATGACCTATGAAATTTATGCTAATATATGTCATTGTCTAAAATTTATAGTGAACAGATAACTGTTTAGCCTTAATTACACAGGTCACTGTTAAAAAACAGCAATAGCAGAAAGCCAATTTCAATGTGGATGCCTAGGCCTTGACTTGAATATGCCGGCTATATTGTTCTTCTCCTGGCGATGGTTTTGGATTTTTTTTTCTAGCTTGACACAGAAGGACTCCCTATATTTAGTTGTCTTCTACTCTGCTAACTGCAGGAATTACTGCTGCCTTTATCATCTGATTTTACATATGTGAAAGGAAACACACGGATGCATTACAAGATTAGTTGAAATCACTTCTCTTGTCTTCATTTCTAACATATTTGAAACTTTACAGTCGGTAGTCTTGAACTTGGTTAATGTTAAATTGTAGGGTATAATCAAATCACTCTTAGTGTTATAGTGCGCAATGGATGAGTAGACGATTATGCAGATTAACCATCAGATGACTTTCACAGGGAGAAAACAAAGAAATGAAGATAAGCTATTAGATGACCAAAAGTACTCGCATGAATTTGATGATCTATCATCATAGCTGTATTTCCCATTGCATGTTATTAGTAGTGATGTGATTAAGACTGCATATCATTAAAAGCATCCTTATTTTGTTTTGCATTTTATTCTATTGTCATGTCTGTGGCATGATTACTCCTCTACTACTTATTGGCTCAGATCCTATAAGTTTATGAGATAGCAATTCGTGACCACGACATCACAAACAAATCAAAATAAGACTGAAAATCCTCAAGATTCTGGTAGGACTAAGTTCGTAAAGGTATTTCTGGGAGCTGAACTGACATGTTCATTTAAGGTTTAAAGATTACACTTTTGTACTCTAAGATTGCGGTGGTTGTGAATCTAAAAAGATTGTTGCAGATAAAATAAGAAATCTCATATATGATTGGTCATATAATTGTAGTTACATAGATGCTTTTTATAGAATATCTTTAATTAATAATGTAAGAAGATTAGCTAATTAAATTATTTTTTTGATAGACAAGTAATTGATGGAATTCCCAATGGGATGGGTATTGCAGGTTTTTTTTCTGAAGCAGGCTAAATATTTGTACGTTTTGGGGAATAATTTTGTTATTGTAAAAGAGTGTGGATTCTGTCAAAATACATTCTTTGTCCTATGAATGTATCTTTTGCAGTCTTTTCTAGCTATAAATAAAGTTAACACTTCATACTTGCTATTGGATAATTCTGCCACGAGAGCAAAATTCTGATAATTGAAATATGTGTTCAGTGTGGATTCTGTCAAAATACATTCTTTGTCCTATGAATGTATCTTTTGCAGTCTTTTCTAGCTATAAATAAAGTTAACACCCCATACTTCCTATCTTATAATTCTGTCACGAGAGCAAAATTCTGATAATTGAAATATGTGTTCAGAGTGAGGTGAAGAATCGTGAAGAAACCCGGATATAATTTTCAGTTGCAGATAATGTTCATTATCTCAATGATAAGTAGTAAATCATGTAGATGTAATTCTCTTTTTTTCTGGAATTTTAGGGTTCCCAACAACTCAGCGTGGTCAATGAGTTGGGAACTAATCAATGATCCTTTGTTTAGAGTTATGGATATATTCATATTGAAATCATGGGTTGCCTGTGTTAACTACCATCCAAAAGAATGGAAAGAAAAACAGTTCTCTTTTTCCTCAGTTGGCTGTACTCCATTGATTATTAGGTGTAATAGGAGGTATTATTGCAGAGGGACTATGTTGTTCATTCTTTTAAACTCTTGCAGGTCGGACGTATACAGCTCCTCAAAAGTGGATGAGAGGCAAGGGACGCCAAACTATCCAATTTGGGTGCTGTTACAATTATGCAACAGTTAGTCTATTTCTTATGCCTCCTTCACAAATCTTTTACGCATTCTTTCTGGAAATAGAGTAACTTTAATACCTGAGTAGCCCCATTATGATCGCTGATTAGTTTGATGGGGGAGATGGAACTCTTACTTTCTCACATTCTGCTTGCAGGATAAAGATGGTAACCCACCTGGCATTCTTCAGAATGTGATGGTAGATCCTATTCCTGACCTTTTCAAGGTCATCATCCGAAGGTTGATCAGGTGGCATGTACTTCCTCCTACTTGTGTGCCTGATAGTTGCATTGTTAATATTTATGAAGAAGGCGACTGTATACCTCCGCACATAGACAATCATGATTTCGTTCGACCATTTTGCACTGTATCATTTCTTAGTGAGTGCAATATAGTCTTTGGATCCAACTTAAAGGTTGTCGGTGCTGGGGAATTTGATGGTTCAGTTGCCATTCCCCTGCCTGCGGGGTAAGTATTCAGTCAGTATTTATTTCTTGTACTTTATGTAATTAATTTTTCAAATATAGTAACTTGGCCAAAGATTTGGCATTGATTTTTCAATCAAGTGATGGTTACAATGGAGAAGCAAAAATCTGATAGTAGCATTTTCCCTCCAGATCTGTACTTGTGTTGAATGGAAATGGAGCTGATGTAGCTAAGCATTGTGTGCCTGCAGTTTCTTCGAAAAGGTACTTAATGAAATTGTATTTCTCCTGCTGCTGTCCCTCTATGTTTTTCATGTTGATTTGACTCAAATCCAATTTTTTTCTAATATTTATTAGGATATCTATCACATTTAGAAGGATGGATGCTTCCAAACGGCCTATAGGATATGTTCCAGAGCCTGATCTGCAGGGGATCCAGCCGTTGGTCTTTGAGGAAAAGAGGTCTAATGGATCCAGATCTCACCGTCATATGAAGAAACCAAACCGAAGAGGTCGTAGGAATGATGCAATGGGACCTGCAACTGGAAGAGATAGAAATTTTGAGCCTCATGAATTAACTCATAGTGCACAAAGGCCTTCAAACAGGCAGAGCAGAGGAAGGCTGGGTAGTTGATCAATGCTCGATATTAGGATAAAGGTTCTTGGTGGCTCAGTGTTAGCTCCAGTATTCACAGAAAGTGTTGGTTGTGGTCATGTGATTTTCTATCTATGAACAGGATTGTCATGCAGGCCTGATCACTTTGGTTTCTGAGGGGACACAGACAGCATCCAATTTTATATAATCACCTTGCACACCCACGTTGGTCAGTTGAGAAGTGCTTTAGTATTTTTCTCAAGCAATGTGAACGTGGATGTCAAGAGTGGTTGCCATTGGTTATTATAAGTTATTGTGATTTGTATCTTCTTTAGTACCGAGCTTAAAAGACTGGAAGTGTATTGGTGAGCTTCAAATATGTTCTTCATGCTTTATTAGATTGAAATTATTCTTTATTGAGGCAATGTTTGTATTGAGAAGGCCGCGCCGCTGGATTTGATGGGTTGAAATTTATCGTCGGATCAGCTACGCTTCAAAGTTGCTTGTTTGTATAAAGATGGTGCTCGGTACGTCAAATTAACTCGTTTGTCCTATGAAGTATTGCGCTTGTATTTTTTTTCCCTCGTGATTTGTATTTTCCTGAGAAAACGAGTAATTTTACTTGTAAGTATAGTTGTTCATCTGAGATGTGCCAGAACTCGTCTAGTGGGGCGGCGTCATTATTAGAATGGTTGATACTTGAGTCCTTATTTATTTTTTGTTGTCAGCGTCCTTGATTGCTATGTGATTTATCCATGTTCTACGAGTTATATATTGAAGATTATTATCCTGAAAAGTCGTAATCTAACTGAACCAAATCTAGAAGGAAAGAGTATTACCACCTATCAGCTATATGAAGAGAGGATAACTCAGCCTTCTTTAAGATTTGCATCAAAGCTGCTTGGAGTAAATAAAAGAAAGGGAGAATTTCACTGTAGGACCGCAGAAGATAATTAATCTCAAAAAGCCCCCAAAACTTTCTGAAATCTCACTCCAGGACCAAGGGGCCAATCTGATATTAATTCCACAAATGAAATGACGCCACTGCCCCTAATAGAAACTTATTTCCTTGAGGGAACAAGTGCGGGAGAGCGCATTTGCAAGGGGAACTAGCCAATTTGCAAAAGAAATACATATATTCACATGTGGAATTAGTTCGTTTACATGTGGACTGGTTCAGCTGAAGCATGGGTTTGTGAAGGAACAAGTGCGGGAGATCGCATTTGCAAGGGGAACTAGCCAATTTACAGAATAAATACATATATTCACACGTGGAATCAGTCCGTTCACATGTTGACTGGTTCACCTGAATCATATGTCCGTGAGAGAACAAGTGCGGGAGATCGCATTTGCAAGGGGAACTAGCCAATTTGCAGAAGAAATACATATATTCACACGTGGAATCAGTCCGTTCACATGTGGACTGGTTCACCTGATGCTAAGGGTAGTGGCGTCATTTCGCTTGTGAAATTAATATCAGATTGGTCCCTTGGTCCTGCAGTGAGATTTCAGAAAGTTTTGGGGGCTCTTTGAGATTAATTGTCTTGTGCGGTCCTACAGTGAAATTTTCCCTAAAAGAAAAGCCCATGTGCTCGGAGTTACGGGCCCTACCAAACCTCCTCGCCTACTCTTTCCACGCCTATACGATACCGGACCTGGAGTAGAACCTCTCTCCCTATCAAATGTAAATCACGACTCGAGCAATTGGTTAGGACCAAAAACACAGGCATTCATGGTGAAGTCCCTATCAACTTCGGTATATAGCATCAATATCCAGTCGAAGTATAATCAAATGGGCACAGGATATCAAAAAACAGCCAACAATAAGTAAACACCTGAGAAACTTGAAAGGGTATTACTCTATCTTCAATAATGAACAATTCACATGTAGTAGTTCATAAAAATTGCTGACAATACAAGGAATAGATAACCATCTAAACATACATATATTCGCCACCACGAACGGCATTTTCAGCACCCTTTCTCTCTTCTTCTGCTTCCTTCTCGCGTTCTTTCCAGCTCTCATAGGCATGGTCATCAGTTTGCAGCTCATACCGACAAATAGGGCATGAATTATGCTCGTCCTGCAACATAGAGACGATATTTTTAACAAAGACAAAATGTTATTAAAAAGGGAGACCAAAAATTGCATGTTCTTCCAAATTGTTCCCAACATATCAGGGCAAGTTCCCAAATATACCAGCCATGGCTTCAGACAAGGTGGGTGGAAAGTGTGCTTGCATGGCAACTCCTGCATTTTGTCATTTAAAGCCAAGTTTTCCTTGCAAATTGCACACTCGGCATCTTTCCCCAACTTAGCCAGGATTTCCCCTGTAAGAGTAATGACCGGAAGTTTTGCCACAACTTCTTTGCTAGCAGGAGGGACTTTTGGAGGCGCTGGACCATCACTCAGCATCTAAACAAGAAGACATATAGTGATGTTTAGTGTTTTCATACGATATCTGCAATTCCTCTCGATTTGTAATCCAATACACAAATTGATAGGTTCTGTTAGATTAGCCCTTTGATGAAGCAATGCAAAGTGTAATTATAGAGCTGCCTTTTATGAGTAATAGAAACAAAAACAGGTAACACAAACCAAGTGATTTGAATTGAGTAATAAATTAACTGGGTTCTCTGATCGAAAGACAATTGCTAAAATTTTCAAAAATAACATGACAAGTGTATGGTTTTCACAGACAAGTATTTAATTCCCTAAGCAAACTATATGCTTGAAATGTTTTAATTAGAAAAATCATAAAACGGTAGTTATCTTTCGAATGAAAACTTAATAGTAAACATACAAGTGACCGTATCTAAATCTATTCTTTGACATAAATGCTCTTAAAGGACAGAGACAATGAGCAACACCATGAATAGGGTAAAATGACATTAGCAGATAAGTAGGTTGCTTATGGTGGTTCCTTAATCAATCTGGAAGAAATACTTGGGTGAACAATCTCAAGTGTAGGTTGGCTTTACTCAGGAACAAGTAGAACGGAATTATGGGGGCTGTAATGGGCAACCTCTTCATAGTCAACTTAAATCACTTGTTTTCCGAGTTGAGCTATAAATTACTTCTCATTGATCTTAAATCAAGGCAGCATGGTTTGTCTTGCTTAAGCTCCAAATCTGAACAATCAATAAGCCCCACAACATGCAATTTATTTGTCTAAGGAAACTGAATCTAGAAATTGAAAGCCACGTTGACATCTGAGAATAGAATTGGAGCCAAGTAGTCAACGGCAAACAGAAACAGAGAAGATTTGGGATGAATACCAGTGGCACGGCATCTTCTAATCTATTCAGAAGATCCTGAAGCATATTTGCAGCATTTTCCCGTGAAGGATCATCTGCCGCTAAACCTTGAGATGATTCAGCAGAAAAAAGTGTACCAGCTGTTGTCAAGAGGTTTGACTGCACAAGCCATTGAGGCTGAGGAGGCTCGGGATCCACAGTAAGGTGTCCCTCAAAAAGATACCCTAAATCCACACAAAACATGATACCATCTCAGGGAAAGAAAGAAGTTAAATTATTTCAAACCTTTACAGAATGTAAAAGAGGGTCACCTCCATTCACAGGATTCTGAGCTGGTTGTGAAGCTTGTGTCGGATTATCCTCTAGATGCAACTCTCCCCTCGCCTGAGAAATGCAACCCTTCAAGTGTTCCTTCTCAGATGGATCAGAAACAAGCAATTCAGCCTGCTCAAAAAGCCCCAGCCCAGCATTCCAGAAACCCGGTGCGGTATACCTGGTCTTCAATACAGTAGCAACTCGGCATATAGCCGTATAAAACTGCCCACATCAAAGTTAATTACGCGGTTAAATCCTTCAACAATGGTGTCCATGTTACTCACTAATGTATTACTAACAAAAACAAGAGAATTTGAAAAACAAGAACCGAAACCAGAAACGGCGTTAAAATTAAATGGGCGAACCTACAAGTGATACAAATTGAATCGAACAACACAAACGCGGGAAAAAAAAAAAAAAAAAAAATCAAATGAAAGAAAGTAAGCAAGCATACAGATTTGCGGAGAGAGGGAGAAGCGGATGGATATTTTTGTTGAAGGAGGGATTTGAGAGAGAACACAGCGTCCTCAAACTTTTGCTTCTTCCCCAAATGTTTCTGCAATTCCTCCAATTGCAGTTTCACCGAATCCTCCGATTCCATTTTCTTCTTCTCGTCTCAGATAAGAAATCTGGGAAGCGTTGCTGCTTGGGTTGGTTTATATATCCTTGGGAATGGATTTTCTTGTCGAGGGGGAAACCAAGCCGGTCTAACAATCAGAGAGGAAGAGGAATGGTCGTCTCCAATTTGCTGAGCAACTCCCTAATTATTTTCGTTCACGCTGTTGCAGGGTACATTTATGATTTATTATTTATTTTTCGTCTAGTATTTGCCTAGCCTTTTTTTTCTTTTTCCAGATTAACTTGGTGTTAGGCCCGTGCTTATCATTTATAATTTAGGTTAAAGTATACTTTTAGCTTTTTAACTTTATATAAAATTTTAATTTAATTTATTAACCTTAAAAAGTATACTTTTAGTCTTTTAATTCTTTTTTTTTTTAAAATGATGACATTAAAATTTTAAATGTTGATAAAATATTCTCAACTGCTAACATATTAAATTTAATTTTCAAAGCATCCATGATCGTTACAAAAAATATCATCAAATCCTAATAATTTTAGGATTCAAGGACCAAATGTATACTTTAGCCTATAATTTATGAATGATGTTTTTTATTTGCGCCAAAACATAGGTATCCTCAAGGCAATATTATATATATATATATATATATTAAATATTGATGTTGATCCGTTTGTGATTTTTTTTTTAACCAGCAGATTCATTTGTGATTAATTCTTTTAAATCCACTCACAAAATATATTGAACTCCTCGTTTTGACAACAAATTGTTAAAATATAAAGTAAGAGGCAAAGTTAATACCGCATCGAAGACAGCAACAATTCATCGTTATATGTATAAAGATCCTGTTATTGGAAAGAAGAAAAAAAGAACGTGTTGCGTCAGAGGTATGAATCGAGTGATTAAGTTAAACCATGAAACGGATTAACAGACAAATAGTCGTCAAGACTGGAATGGTTAGCCGGCGCCGCTAGGAGGCAGCAAATGTCAAAGATAGGAGGGGAAGAAAAGGTAAAATTAGTGTTTTGCATTTTTTTTAATCCAAGGTAAAATTGGTGTTTTAACTGGTCAATTATTTTACCCTTTTTTTAATAATTACCGACAATATGTAGGGATTAGAGATTCTCAATTTAAATAAGCTAAAAAACAAAAATACTAATAGAGATTAAACCCTAGAGATCAATTCACATTTTATAATACAAAATAGGAGATCAACTCCCTCCAATCTTATCTATTTTATAAGATCGTATTAACATTTAATACATTTTTTTCAATTGTACCCTTAATTATTTATTCTCTCCCATTTCTATAATCTCTCTTTCCTAATTATAAGAGCTAGTTGACTTATTTGAGTAGATTAAAAAAACAAGTGAGGTTAGTTATTTGTAATAAATAAGTGTTATCTTTCATAAAATATCTTTGCAAATCAAATTTATTAGTTAGAATTACTATTATTAGAAAGACTATTTTATAAAAAAATAAACATGAAAAACAAGGTGGATTAAAATCTTATACTACCTCCGGTCCTTAATATAAAACTCTGTTTGATTTTTATTTTGGTCCTAAATATAAGACCCCAATCCACTTTGTCTCTCATATTTATACATTTTTTTTCAAAGTAACCCTTCTGATAATAAGAGTTCTAGTCAATACACTCGATTAGCAAGGATATTTTAGAAAAGACAATAGCTATTTAGGACAAATAACTAACTCAACTTACTTTCTTAATCTCCTCAACTTAGTCAACCAGCTCTTATAGTTAAGACCAAAAGTAGTATTTAGGATCTAAATAACCCAAGGTAGTACTATATATTTCTCTTCTATTTATTGCTTTTAGCTAATTGTCTCGGCCATATCATAGCTCAACGTTTCAATCCAAACAGAGTAAAAAACGCGGCAATATCAGAAGCCGACTTGCCATGAAAGGAAAAGATTGAGATCCGTGGGCTTCACTTGTTCACAGAGGAAAACCCCAGAAATATAAAGGAGAAAGAATTCTCAGGGACATCATTCATTAATAATTAATAAATAATAATAATGATAATTTTAACAATAATAATCACAGAAACAACGTACATCTAACAATCAATGAAGATAATCCGAAGATCTCAGTTACCTATCAGTCACTGGGTTAGTTTCATACAAATCTCCGCTAGCTATTTGCTTCAATACTGACTCATGTAAACCTCAAGGAAGATGAAAAAAATGAGCTAGCAATAGCATAACAACAATCAAAGATCGAAAGGGCAGGCAGGGCAAGGCGTTCTTGCTGTGTCATACAGAAGCCTCTATCCTGGGCTCGAACGAGAAGGCAGACATAAACTCCATGTCTTGGCCTTTAATGCAACATTTTGGCAATTCAATCCATTCTTTAGTCCTCAAATCACACACAACATAAGTGCATAGCTCAGGAGAATTCAAGCATACAAATATCTGATCATTCACCCCCACACAGTTAATATCTGCCTTCTTACCATACCACTCATGAGACATTGCTGCAGGCATGGCTGCAATCTGGTGCCAGCATCGCCCGGCCTCATCGTACTTCCACACCCGAAGACTCGTGCTTTCCAAGAACTCCGACAACAGGACTACCAGCATCTCACCATTACACTCTACAACATCAATGGAGTACTCACAGAATGCAGGCAACAACCTTGGATACTCAGAGAAGCACTTGTTTGTCAGATTGCAAGCTACTACTGTCCCTGAGGAGCTTAGGAAGTAGAGTATATCCTCACCATCTTTGTTAGTAATAACTGATGAGTATTGCTTAGAAGGGCTTCTCTGCATGTTACTTGCCACGACATTTCCAGCCTTACTTAGGAAGTATACAACATTATCATCGTTTGAATCATATTCCATAGAGTTGTCATCAACCTTTCTCCTCAGCGAAGTCTCATCTTCCCAGCAACCACGGTTTGAGTCGTAGGATATGAAAGAGAGAAATGGAAGTTCACCGAAGACTAACACTATCTTGTAGGTGGAGATAGATGAAGTCATGACAATGGCATTAAGGGGTTGATTCTGTTGGGCTAAATGCGGAGGAGGAAGATGCCTACGACTTCCGGTCACAGGATTGCATACAATAAAGTTTCCAGATGATTCGCGGTAACAAATCAAGCCACCTGAGGCAGCCACTGGCATACAACCTTGGTCAGAATCTTCCTGCAGAGGAGGAGCATTGTTGAGTCTTTTCCAGGAGCTTTCGGCAGAGTCAAAGACGATGGATTGGTTGAGATTGGGAGCGACCATCAAGAACCAAGGATCCCGAGAAGGAATCTGAGAGCAGGCGAGCTTGAAACTCGCAGAGGCTGCAGCTGATTTCCATCTTTTGCACACGGTGCTAAGGCGGAAGAATGTAGAAGTTGGCAGCCATGAGAGCACCCTTTCAAAGAGGTCTTCATTAAGGTCGTCTAGAGAAGGGCAGTTGGTGAGAGGACAGTCTCCATTTTCTGGTGACTTTCTCTTCAAGCTTGTCCTTTTACCTTGCCAATTGTTAAGTCCCATTGACACGAAAGTTGCCAGAGACAACTGCGAAAACCAAGTGACCAGGACGTTAGCAATTTTTCTTCTTTAAAACTGGGAAATGGAAGTGAAATAATGCTTCCAATTGAACCCGGAATTTGTCAGCGCAAAATAAAAGAAAGTCCCCATGAAGTAAAATAAAATGATGTCTGGGGCAAACTCGACAAGTGATTAAAGCTGTGGATTTAGGGAACTGATACAGAGCAGAAAGGAGAAAACCCTCGGAGAGAATTTCTATTCTTCAAAAACAGTTAATCTTGGGACTTTAGATGTGAACGAAATTCCGGATCCTCCCCAAACCCCAGAGAAGAACAAGGACGCCTTCAACAAGGAGGGAAATCCACCTATATGTTCAGTTGAAATCGGACGCTAAACACACATAGCAAACCCCCTCTTTTTTTTAACAGATTGCAGTCAAAATCAAACACCCTTTCACCACATCTAACTGAAAGAATGATCAGATTTTACAATGGTAAAGACACAAACTTGATCGGAAGGTTCAAAGCTCACACGAGAAAACCCCAGAAACTAGCAATACAGAAGAACGTAGAAAATCAAGAGAAATGCACCTGAGATAGAAGTGAAGGAGCCGCCCGGAGAGAGAAATAGCAAGCGTCAACGAATAGGGCTGAGGATGAATGGTAACTATGACGAGGTCGTATTTAAAAGGGGGTATTGGGTGAAGGGCAAGAAGATCCGGAAAAAGGGAAAAGGGAAAGCGAGGTGAACAACGAGTAGGAAGTGAGGTGGGAAACTTCGTGGGTAGCTAGCTCTAGGGTACACGGGTGGGTATATAAGAGAGAATATATGAGAGTGATCGGATGGAAAATGAAGGGGAAATGGTTGACTCTGGAGTGTGGTCTCAAAGATTGGGGCTTTGGATTCGGGTTTGACACCAAAGAGACAAGTGCCGGCACATGTAATCGCTTTAATCGTCGCAAAACTGCATAAAAGGAAGAGAAAGTAACAGAGAGTTTCAAAGTCGCTCGCCTATGTCAAAGGGGGGTTTGTCATTTTTGTGTGTGGCTAGCTGAGTCTGACCCTCCCAAAGCAAAAGCAAGCTCTTCCTCGTTGAGGAATCTTTGTCTTTTGCTTCTGCAACACCCCACAGCCTTCACCAACTAAAAGTCAATGCTCCAAAGTCCCATCCACAAGCCAAGCATAAACCCCATTTGGCTTAGGATTAAAATATTGGTGAAGAGCCAAAAAGCCGCTAATTAAGCTCCCTCCTTCTTTCTTTTGCTTTTGCTCCGCCTCGTGTGCTCGCTTTGTGGATGATGCTCCCAAGTCATACGCCCAAAACCCAGCCAGGCTCCTCCCAGTGAGTTTCGCACATGAGGCTTCCCATCTTTTCTCAAAACGGCCCGGCTTTTGGCCCTTTTGCTTTTCCTCCATTGCGAATCCGAATAAACCCTTTTTTCCTGTTCATTCACTCCTCTAATTACTGACGGCGACTTGTTTACCTTTATGGTAATTTGACGGATAATCTAAAAGCAGTTTTTGATGTTTCAACTTTGATGAGTTTCAAGGCGGAAGAAAGAAAAAACTTTGATGAGTTTCTGATAACTAACCAACCTAAAATTCTTTCACCGGCTACAGCATGGTACTTTATGATTTATGAAGCTAGAGCTATTGCTCTGATAAGGGTTAGTTCACCGGCAAATCTTCAAGGTCCCCAAACAAAACAAAAAAAAACTTCACCAGCAAATGCATCTAAAGATTTGAGACTTAAGCTAACTTTTTACACTTTTATGGTACAGTATATAGTATAAATATAACGTAATGCACAATTCAACCATAGTTTGGTTTTTCCTTTATTTATTATTTTTTCCCCCATAAGAAGCTCCTTTAGGCCATGGTTGTGAACAGAAATAACACTGTGCACACAGCCATGGCTTCATGTCATCCTGTAGCTCGTGCCTCAGGTAATGTGGTGTCATGTCAGTTGCTCAAACTTTTTAGGGAAAATTTCACTGTAGGACCGCACAAGACAATTAATCTCAAAGAGCCTCCAAAACTTTCTGAAACTTCACTGCAGGACCAAAGGGCCAATCTGATATTAATTCCACAAACGAAATGACGATACTGCCCCTAGTAGAAGGGAACAAGTGCGGGAGAGTGCATTTGCAAGGGGAACTAGCCAATTTGCAAAATAAATACATATGTTCACACGTGGAATCAGTCCGTTCCCATGTGGACTGGTTCACCTGATGAATGCGTTCGTGAGGGAACAAGTGCGGGAAAGCCCATTTGCAAGGGAAACTAGCTAATTTGCAGATGAAATACATATATTCACACGTGAAATCAGTCCGTTCACATGTGGACTGGTTCACCTGATGCATCCGTCCGTGAGGAAACAAGTGCGGGAGAACGCATTTGTAAGGGGAACTAGCTAATTTGCAGAATAAATACATATATTTACATGTGGAATTAGTCCGTTCACATGTGGACTGGTTCACCTGATGCATGCGTTCGTGAGGAAACAAGTGCGGGAGAGCGCATTTGCAAGGGGAACTAGCCAATTTGCAGAATAAATACATATATTCACACGTGGAATCAGTCCGTTCACATGTGGACTGGTTCACCTGATGCTAAGGGTAGTGGCGTCATTTCGTTTGTGGAATTAATATCAAATTGGCCCCTTGGTCCTGCAGTGAGATTTCAGAAAGTTTTGGGGGCTTTTTGAGATTAATTGTCTTGTGCGGTCCCACAGTGAAATTTTCCCAACTTTTTATTTTAAACTTTTTAAAATATAAAATATATTTGAATGCTCACGTCACGCCCCCGTGTTTCTTCTGTAAATTATTTATTTATTTTAATGGGTTTACTTTTTTTTTTTCCACACAAACTCCAATTCTGTAAATTATCTATTTGACCTTTTCTTTTGCCTGATATATATGCTATTTAGTTGGCAAAAAATAAAGATATATACTAACCCCAATTCTTAATATAAAATTAATTAATTAATTTGAGTAAATTAAAAAAATTAGTTATATTAGTTATTCACAATAAGTAAATATTATTTTTCCTACTTATCAAGTATATTGGCTAAAACTGCCATATTAAAAATATTATCTTAAAAAAATAAATAAATACAAAAAACAAAATAACTTAGGATCTTATATTTAAGATTAAAATAAAAACCAAACAAACTCTTGTATTAAGGACAAAAATAATACTGTTTAACATATGTGTTTTATTTAAAAGTAAAAATTTGAAAAGAATTATATGCCACGCGAGACTAGTATGCACGGTGTAGTTATCAAGGTCAGTAAATTTATTAAAAACACGAATAAAATCACATGGGATTAATCAATAAGGTAGTTCTGTGGCCCCAAAAAAAAAAAGCCAATGAAGCAGTTCGCCTTACTTCCCCCCCCCCCCCCCCCCCCGGGAATGAAAAACGCCAGCATAATACAACGCCCAGAAGATGACGCCTTTGGTCATCGATATAAATATTAAGCCACATCGTAGAAATTCAGCAAAGGGTAGGCATCCAACATTATTTTGACCTTCCGCTTTATTCAATCCGCTCATTGACATGGATTTATAAATTCCTCCGACACGGTTTCAGTGAAATCTAACCTTATAATCAGCCAGGTCAAATCAAATTTATTAATTTATTTATCCAAGGCTTTAAATAGGAAGCGTAGTTTCGACAGTTATGCATGAAATCTAAGTTAAATCTTACTATTAATAGGATGTTTTCCTTTAAAAATAAATTATAAAGATCCACAATTACATCTAGTCAGACTGACTTTATGTCACGTTTTTTATTCTTTAAATTTTTTACACATTTCATCAGGATTAAAAATATAACTTTTAATTTCACCGAAAACAACAGCAAAGAGATAAGCATAAGCTGGCGTCCTTTGTCTTCTGTAGAATGAAGTACAGAGACCAATCATGAGAGAACATGTGGGGGACAAAGGAACACATGAGAACAAGATTACCTTGTCGCGTAACAAAAACAGGGAAAAAGAAACGAGCTTTCTTATTGCAAAATTAGAGGAGGCAGAACGTTGGGGATATCATGAAGAGTTCTATACTGTCACTATAATCAAATTAGAGAGTCCATCTAAAAATGTTGCAATAGGATCCAAGGTTCCTGCAAATAATGAAACCCCAGATAAAAATAATTTCCCAGCCCACCACCTCTTCCCGATGATGGGATAATGATCAAATGATATTAACAAATAACAAATTTAACTATACCTACGTTACTGTTAATTTATTTCCTCCTGATATTTGCAGTTTAAGAACTGCAGAGCGGCGATCCTCGCTTCAACTGATGCATCTTAGCCGAGGATGTTTCAGTGGGTAACGAACTAATGCCAGAAAATTTCGTACCACCCTCCTCAACTGGGATCCCGTTCTCGCTTGCACTGGAATATCCATTCCCATAGCTTGATTTGAATTTAACATCCTCCAATCCCCCCGAGTCTCCCCCGTTTCGATGATCCGTTAAAGAATAAGAATTCTTATCAAAGCAAGAAAAGCCGTTTGGCAAACCTGGAGAAGGATCAGAATTGCCTGTATGAGTGTCACCTTGCTCTTCGATGCAGCCTGAAGTCTCTCTTAAGGGAGATGAACATGGATTTGTTTGGACCGTATCTATGCTCTCCAAATCTTTGACAGCTCGAGAAGCAAGCACATGCGGTGATTCAACAGCACTTCCAGAAGCATCACTAACAAAATCAGAAGTTGACTCAACATCAACCGTGTCCACATCCATAGAATTCTTTCCAGTCAAGGAATCATTATCGGAGGCAGAAGCCTTCAAATCTGAACTAATATCTGATGGCAAAACCTTTGAACTGCTACTGCAAGTCACAGTCTCCATACTTGAGATGCTTTCTGGTTGCTCAGTTAAACCAGGCTTCACTTCCACTTCATCTCTTTGCTCTTCTGGCATCCGTAAAGACTCACTAGTTTGAAGGCCAGAAGGCCGGGCACTGATCCTGTCCAAAATACAAACTAAAACCTGTAGCTTCAATCAGAGAATTGTTTATCCAAAATTACAGTCCGAAAAGCTACATGCCCCTGCCCCTTATGTCCTCCATGCATATCAAGCACATGAATTACATGTAAACACCCTATCTCAAACAATCCATGCAAATTAAAACACGGGCTAATGCTTTCTTTCTCAAGAAAAGCTAGCTAAAGGCAGTCACAATATAAGTGAGCCTCTGCCAGTATGGATTTTAGAAAGAGAAAGAGAGAGAGCCTTAGCCTATACACAATCACATCGGTACCTGCTGTATAACAGCATGTATGCTCCCTGAGAAAGTACCTCCTCCAATTCTACGCGCACAACCTGAGAAAATGGCAAACCAAATGAGAACGCTGAAACTAAAAAGTTATGCACTGTACATGGAGATTAAAGATGAAAATATGAAGTTGCAAGCGAAGAAAGAGAAAACTTACTTTGCAGTCATCAATCCTATACCAATTTCCGCGAAAACCCTTGATGTAGCAGATATAATGACCAAAAAACGAGGCATTCAGCATATCAAGATGAACTACAACAGCATATAGCTTATAGACATCAGATCCATCTCCTGCTTCACTCATGTAGGGACTGAGGTTTAAAGTCTCGGGGAAGGTTATTCTCTTGTTGAGTTTTCCAAATCTCCCACTCTGCACATGCACAACACTAAATAATAACCTTATTCTGCATGCCCCAAGGGGGTGGCAATTTTTTTTTTTTTTTTGGGGGGGGGGGGTGTTGCACAAGGTGCAGTCCAAAACATATTCAAACTCTTATTTCTCTAGGGAGAAAAAACGTATTCGGCTATTCGCACAACATTAAGATTATCACTCATAATCACAAGGCTAACCCCATACATCCACACATTGCATGCATGTTTTGGCAGGGGACAGAAGTACCACAAATCTTAATAACTCATTTCTAACTAATTTAGAGCACCTAATAACAAGCTAGTAAGACATCCTGATCAAATTGCTCAAACCTGAAATCTTTTCAAGGCAATTGTGAGAATATTTGGAGCACTTTTCACTGTTAGACGTTTCCATGCCTTAACATAGTCATTACACCTGCAAAAACGAGCGAGACTTGTAAGGGACAGGACCATGCTAAGTTCCAAAGAGTCTCAAGGTCCAATAACATCAGCAACCCTCAGTTATTCAATAAATGAACTACACTATCTTTGCCACTGCTTCTGATTATTTGGCCTCTCTTTGGTGTTCAATCCATGGCCTCTTTTAAAACAGCCTCCCAACAGATATAGAAAATAATTAATGAGGTAATATCTTGAAGTTGTTTGCTTTTGTTATGTTATTTCTTTGCATCTTTGCTTATGAAATTATCCTCATCTTTTCAGTAATTTGCATTTGTTTCCCATATTTCTTCTTTTATTCCCCAAGGAAATTTTTTTCAGATTTGAAAAAGGAATGTAGTGTTTTTAGATGCAAGATAAGTTTCAATATATAGTGTTACTGCCATTCTTCTTTGATACTTCCCAAAACTACTGAGTTGTCCAAGGAAGCAGTAATTATCAATGGTTCACAGTTCACTGCAACCTTTTCCCAGTAGAGAACCCCCTTTTGAGTTAACAAAGAGAGAGTGGCTAGCCTTCCCAAAGGAAACCCCAGAAAGATTAAATGTCCAACCTAATAATGACCATCAACTTAAAGCAAAGGGGGAAAATGGTTTCTATGTTGCTGATGTCATCAACAACAGTTGAAACAAAGTAAACATTTCATCACAAGATAGCCAACCATTTTAAAGGCATCAGTATCTTCTCAAAAGGAAGGCAACCTTACCCATCGCATTTATACATGTTTTCCCCATGAAGCCACTCCTTGACAGTAAACTGGTCTAAACATTCCTCCAGGGAGGCAGCATCACCGTGAATTTCAACTGTTAAGTCCATCATATTTTCATACTGATTCGAAACCTTATCACACTGTGTGCAAATAACCTGTTTTCCCCCAAAAGAAAAAAAGTTGGATTCACAGCGACATCCATGTCAGAAGCAAAATAACAGAAATGAATTTGGCAGCAAAGACAAAAGGAGTGAAAGATTTAAGCAGTCCAAAAGGCAAAATCATGGATCTACAAGAAAACCATAACTCAAAAAGCTCACAAAGCCAGATTCCATCGCAACTTGTATTTTACCCAAATGACAACCCAGCCAGAATGCAGAAAAACATTATCTTTCACAATATCAGTGCAATTCTTTCCAGAACATTGTTAGCTTAAAAAATAAGTAGAGTGCCTTCTAACTCGTTTGTAAAGTTTGACATAAAATGTGCAGCTTAATCACCATGCTGACACAGACTCTGCGCCAATTTCTCCCACCAAGGATCATTTCAACATAAACAACATTTGTCCTCGCCTGAAAAGGATTAAGACATCTGAAACCACATATATGTCCACCTAAAGCTAATTCTACTGGAATATCAAGTCTCTGATACTCTTCTGAACTCCGTCATGTGCACGTGAGAGTTCAGAGAGAACCAGAGCATCTTCAATTTAATCAATTATCTATCAAAGTGATTATTTAGTCTCTAATTTTCATTGAGCACACCAAAAGCAGTAACAAGGTATTCAATCAACATAATAATGCTGATTTTCTTACTGATCAGAAGCATAACCTGAGATTGAAGGTGACCACCAAAAATGTGCTGAATTAGGGTTGTCTCTTGAACGTTAGAAGGTACAGCTCTTTCTCCCCCAAATTCATCAAGGCAAACAGATTGCATTGTATCGATGGCAAACCTACAAGAATATCAGAAGCCTTTACTGTTTTGAATCATTAACTACATAGAGTCCTTCTAAACACGGCCAACGCGCAGTTAACTACAGAAAGTCAAGAGATAGCTGCAGTAGCAAATAAACCTCATGAACTCATGAGCATCCTCTTGGCTTCCATAACCAAAATCGCCACCAATATTATGCAAGCCAGAAAGTATATGCATTGGAGAAAAAGCCTGTGAACTTTGCCTTACTCGTTCAAGGTGGGCTTGAAACTCGCATAGAAAGCACCAACCATTAAAACTGCCTGAAAAAGTAGTTACAAACACGAGCATGAGGAAAAGTCACAGAAACAATCAGAAGCAAAAAGTCTTGTTAATGACATTACATTCTTGGCGGTGGCCTTTTTCCATCAAGTAGGCAACGAGTGGCTTTGTGAATGAGAGACATTGGAGAACCACATTAGCAAAGCAGCTGCACAGATTCACAACAAATTTGTAACTGAACGTTCTTATGGCAATGAAATGATCGCATATAGTAAAGCTTGGTTGTGACAAAAAAGAACCTATTTCCACAATTCAACAATCCGCAAGGAGGAAATCCCGGTTTGTCCCAGTTAAAAAATTTAACAAATTCATCATACGGAAAAAGAACCTGAAAAGGGGAAAAAATGGGTCAAACACTCAAATTTCAGTATGCCAGAAAACGCACAAGATTCAGCCAGGTAAGCAAAGCGCAATGTATTTTCCATCAAGGCACATAAAGAAAATTACACTTTTGGGATGCTTGATAGGCCTGGAACTGGAAGTGCCGGAAGCAGGTACCAATGCTATCGAAGATAAATTTTTACCCCCAGCCGCAGACGCTTTAGACCTACGATTAGTTGCGCCAGCTTGAGTCGAATTATTTCCACTGGATAAATGAACATCCTTGCATTTCGACTTATGCCCAGAGTTCCAGTGTGACTGTTGGCATGTCTGTGAGCTGATAAGCACATGCAAAAATCAACTTGCCAGGTTAAAAACCAATATAACGCGCCCACTTCACGGGTCAACGTTGAAGTTGCGGCATCGAATTAACAGAAATCCATAACAATGAAAACCACTGAATTGCCAAGACCCTAGAGATCAAAATCCCGCAACCACATTGGAAACAATAATAACAGGAAATCAATGATTCACAACGACTATTTGTTCGACGCACCAGTATCTTACGGCTTTACAGCGCGAGCACTTTTTAGTGCCAGAGTTGCCGCAGACAACACAAACAGGATCGTCCTTGAGAGTGCCCGGCATTGGAATTGGATCAGTGGGTCGCTCCCCCTCGAAATTGGCGTCGACCTCAAAGTACTTCGAGGCCGTCTTCTTGACCAATGTATGCAATCCAACAGCTACGACAAAAGCCGAGAATATTAATTGCAGGAACCAATTCAGATCCCACGATACTCCGGAGACAAGCATCTACACCGCCCCCGCGTTGATGATCGATGATATTCCTTCGATCCTACGGCTGTTCATCGATTAAATTACATGCACAACAACATGAGCTTCCCACAACAAAAATTAGGGTTTTTGTTTGTTATCCTTGGTCATGTGATCAGCTTTGAGGAGCCAGAGCTGCCACCATCTCTGCTTCACATATATAAAAGAAATAAATAATCTCCGAGTTCCTTGCCGTTTCTCGTTTTCCTTTCCAAATCAAAGCACCAACTAGAAGAAGTGTGATATTAATTAAAGAGTAAATCAAAAAGTGTTTATCTATGTCTTTTTCTCCTCTATATGACGATGATGATGAATTAATGGTACTAATAAAGTTGTTTTCTTTCCTGTAACCCCCAAAAAAAAAAAAGTTGTTTTCTTTCCAAGATAAAACGTTGTTTTCCTGGAAGGGAGGCCTGTCGCGTGTGTACTGTTTCAGTACTGTGCAGGGTTCTCTTGGGCATGTGAGACTGACACGTGTTTCCATCTAAGGACCGAATCATCAAAGAGAAGACCGTGCAGATTGCTCCAAATATCTTGAGAAGGCTCCACGGCTTTCTCTTTGTTTCCTTATGATTCCCACATTGCAGAAAGTTGAAACTATGTTACTCCTCCGGTCCTTAATATAAGACCCATTTAACTAATTTGATTAGATTAAGGAAGTTAGGTAAGTTAGTTAATTATAAGAAAAGTGAGACATTTTTCCTAAAACACCATAATCATTTTTCTTAATACCCCATCTCCCTCTTTTACTTGATTATGGTTGAGGGAGTATTCATAGGGGTAATTTAGAAAAAATTGATAAATATAAAAAAGGGGTCTTATATTTAGGACCAAAACCAACTTGAGAATTGGGTCCTATATTAAGGACCGAAGGAGTAGTATCTTTTAATATATTTGCCCTAAAAGAACGCTAAAGATTTAATTTGATTGTAAATATAAAATATCAATTTATTTTATTTTTATATTTTTTTAGAATAGTCCCATATGATTGCGTGTGTCAAAAAGATTTTGTTCTAACTAACTTTCATAGTTAATAATAATATTTTAAGGAAGAAAACACTTATTTATTATAAATAACTAATTTAATTAATTTTTTTAATATTTATAAATTAATTATGTAGTTTTTATATTAAAAACAGGAAGTGATATTATCTCTTAAATTATGATGGATATTAATTTTATAAATTGATCTAATTTCAATTTTTGTGGAGCAACTCTGTTTGTTTAAATTGGATCTTTTGTAGTCATAAAATTATATATTAAGATTATACAGTACTCCATAACTTTTTTTATTTATTTTGTATCTAATTTTATTTGTTAGTTAATTTGTGAATTGAAAAAAAAAAGGATATTCATGTTTTTAATTTGTTGTGTTATCTCCGATTAAAAAAAATCGATGATAATAATGAACATGTAAAAATGCATGGGAATTTAGTTGTCCGATAATTTTTAAGACATTTTAAATTTAATTGGTTGGCTTGATTGAGAGAAGAAAACTAATGACGAGTCAGTGTTGAGCTTCTTCCCTCTCCCTGTCAAGTGTAGCAGAGATATTTTGTTAGATAATTTATTTTGTTAAAAAGTAGTTATAGTTTGTTATGTAAACACTCTTAGACTCACCAGCTCACTTGTATATAAACACTCCTCCTTATCAATAATAAAGTTAACTCATTCTTTCCCAATATTAAGTTTCATGGTATCCTAAGCCAGACACAAGCCCTTTATTGTCTTTTCCCCTTTTCCTTTTCCTCTCTTTCCTCCAGTTTTCCGCCTTTCTTGTTTTCTCCGTCCTTCATTTTTTTCGTCGCCCTCTTCTCCTCAAAACGTCCACGGCGACTGCTTCTGATTGTTCAATTGATCCATCAAAGCCCCTACTACATCCACCCGAGCGAGAATCATGCTCTTGTCCTCGTTTCCCCTCCACTTGACACTTCCAATTATCACGAATAGTCTTGTGCCATGAAAATGGCTTTGCTATCAAAAAATAAACTGAAGTTTGTGGATTACTCGATCTCTCGTCCCTCAGCTTCTAATAAAGACTTTTCCAGCATGGGAATGATGCAACAATCTAGTTCAAGGATGGTTAACTAAGTTACTCTCTCCTATGATTTCCCGAAGCACTCTCTAGTTTGATACAACGACTAAAATCTAGAACGATCTCAAGTCAAGGTACTCTCAGTGTAAAGCCCCTAACCTTAAAAACATTATCAACTCGTCGTAAAATTCACTACTATAGTAGAAAAGGAAATCTGTTAAAACAAACTACCATAGTAGAAAGAAATTGCATAACTTTAGGAATTAACATTTAAACTCGGTTCAAACTCGAACTCGGTTGCATGCAACTAAAATCATTCATTCATGTCCACTGGGCCTCCGAGCCTCCGACCTGGGTAACAACATACATCAAAATCAGCCCATCCAATTAGTTTTCAACCATGTAACAAAGTTTCATAAAACAATAGAAATGGCCTCCGGCCAACTAAAACGAGGAGATAACATATTCTCCAATTTACAATAAGATTAACAATCAAAATATCTCAAAAGATCCTAAATGTGGCAATATATATACTAGCCATACATATACAAAGGCTAGAGGCCTAAAGCTAACCAAGCTCAAGCCTCTGCGTCTCTTCCCGAAGGCGCACGCCTAGAAACTTCACCTGAAAACATTGTAAACCACGGGGTGAGACGGAGTCCCAGTAACCAACCTTTCCAATTCAAGGTACTACTAAATAGGTGCTCGTGAGGTGTCAAGTAGGGCAGTTCACAAGTAATATGATAACAAGATAGCCACAACAAGTTATGCAAGTGCAATGATGCAATCCCATCAACCATATCCCTCACTTTGGGGGATTTTCAGGAGTCAAAGCCGGCCTATCCCTCACTATGGGGGACGTAAAGAGCCCAAAAAAGGTCTATCCCTCACTCTGGGGGACGTAGGGAGCCAAAAGGCCTATCCCTCACTATAGGGGACGTACTGAGTCAACCATCATGCATTAATGGAGGCCTTACCACGTGGTAGTAACTATCAAAAACTCTCACCAATTCCCAATTCATGCATCATGCTCAAACCATAATCAAATAGTAATTGAACATTTCATAAGTAACTTCATTCAGTGGCATATCCTTCACAATTTCAAGATTCATTCATCATCATTCGAAACCCCACAAGACAGTTTTCTTTTTTTTATATATACAACATACAGTTTGAACATAATTACTACTTGGAGCACAAAACATAAATCTACTCACAATACCACAGAAACAAGTACTAAGGATTGGAAAGTGGTTACCTCTCGCCTGAGCAAGGAATAACAAACCAACAATGTGGCCCCGCGCACCAACAAAACTCACAACCAGTCTACACAAGCACACAAACACACAACCACCATGTATTAGCTTTCAAACTAATAATGTGGCCAAAACAACATTTGGGGACACAAAATTCCTAGCTCCAACCAAAACTCTACCCAACTCAAAGGGTATAACCATCAAAGCAACACTCCAAAGTCATAAAAGTCTATTAAAACATCAAATCCCCTTCCAAGCATCAATTAGGGCTCAAACCTCAAGGACCCACTATAGGAATTCCACACCCAAACATTCCATTTGAACAATTGAAGTTCCAACAACAATCTAAACTGATTAAACATCCAATTTAACCCTCCTTAACATAACCCAATTCACAAAACTCAGAATCAACCTCTACATTATCATCCTCAATCACAAACCTCCCATTTCCATAAACCCTAGCTTCAAAAACTCAAGATTCTTTAAATCCAAGAAAACTACACTAATTAAATACTTAAACTGACCCAAAGCAATCAATTAAACTCAAAATAATTGGTCAAAAACCTCAATTCCATCACAACTTAGAAAATCCTAGGGTTCTACCAAAAATCTTCAGAAATTTCAAAAAAGAAAGTAGATTAGAGGTTAAAATCACTTACTTGAGATAATGGATCCTTAGAAATGTCTTTCCCAAGCCTCAACACCGAAACCCTAGCAGAGCTCCTCTCTCCTCCTTGAGATTTTCTAATTTTCGCACACTGAACCCCTCCCGCGACTATATAGATTCGGGACCTTTCGTCGCGGCGAACCCATATCTTCGCAGCGGCGACGAAAGCTTCCCGAGAGGAATGTAACATCCCAATTTTTTTTATTTATTATTATTCCTAGTGTTTAGTTAAGTTTAGAAGGAGTTTAATGCTTGATAAATGAGTTTTTTCTCTATTTATTTAAGAAAAGAGAATTATTGAAAATAAGATTATAAAATATGTATAAGGAAATTTCTGAATAATAATAATAATAAAACGGATTAAAAAAAATGGGAAAAAAAAGGGGTACCAAACTATAATTTTGTCCCATTTTAATATGGGGTCTTTAACTGGAATTTTGCCAAAATATTATTTTAACCGTTGGGGGCCAGAGAGAACATTTCGACGTTTTTCTTTTCACCTTCTCCGGCGCCTCCTCTCATTTTTCCAGTAGGGTTTCAACTTTGCAGATCATTTTGGTAAGCCAAATGACTTCTTTTCATTAAACTCTCTTCATGAAAGTTTTTCCACTCATCTAAATCTATCTAATGATGGTAGTTTTATACTGTTTAGAGATAATTTTTGGGTTTAGGGTTTGAAGCAAGTGTTGAGTTTTGATGATAGGTAAGCATAATATTGTAGAGCTATTTTAGTAGATCATTTCTATCAGTTTAGTTTTATTTATTGACTGACCTAATATTTTTAAATGAATTATTTTAGTTAAACAGATATTTATTTATGAAAAATATGATATTTATACCATGAAACTGTTGATTAAATTATTTACTTAGATGCATTTGATGTATAGTGAATTTCTAATGGTTGGTTTTTGAGATTTAAAGTTAAAATAGGATTTTTGAATTTTAAATATGATAATTTCAGATTTAAAAATTTGAGAAAAATCTGTATTAAAGTAAATACTTGAAATGTTTAAATGAAAATTTTGGATTGTGAGGATATATAAATTTTGTGCTAAAAGACTTAATTATGGGTTATGAGAGGTTTGGGTTTAGCATAGAATTAGAAACTTTAACTTATATATATATGTTTTAGTTTAAGTAATTAATTAAATAGCTTGTGTATTGATATGTAAATGTATTGGTTGTGTAGATTAAATTATTGGGCTATTGGTATGAGCACGGGGTTAACCTTGTGGTAATACTTGTTCTAGACAAGAGGTAACCACTTTCCACTTATTATTCATGCTCGTAGGTTGTTTGTGATTGATTTTGAATTATAAGGAATTTATG